TACCTCCGGCAGCAGCAGCAGCAGCAGCAGCAACCCGACTGCTTCCCGCCACGCGTGGAAGGAGGAAGGGGGAGCGGCCCCTCCCGTTCCTCCTGCCCTGCCTGCTCTGCCCTCTCTTCCCCCGCTCCCCGCTGTCCCACCACAGCTTCCGCGTCCTCGGCCCCTCACCGCTCAGTACTCACACCAGCCGCAGCAGCGCCCTGCGACACCGCCACTTTCGCCACTGCCGCTACCTACCGTGGTCCCCCTCGCCACCACCACTGCCGCCAATACAACAGCAACAGCAGCAGCAGCACCTGTGCCACCGCCTCCGCCACCACCACACCAGCCACCACGAACCACCCCCACACTTCCTCTCGTCGTGCCGCACGCTCTTCCCAAAGCTGCTGATGCTGCTGCTGCCGGTGGCGGCGGGCCACTACGGCTGCCCTTTGCTGCTCTCCCTTCTCCCGCCAACAACACCGCCACCACCTGCGTACCCCTCCGCTTTCCTTCCCGCGGCGGAGGGGAGAAAGCCTCTGCCCGCGATGGCGAGCTGGCTCCTGAAGCTGGACCGCCGCCGGCACTGCCGACGCGCGATGACGCTTCACCTCGCGACCTGCCGAGCCTGCCTCCACTCCCCCCAGCTCGAGATGACGACGACGACGACGACAGAGTTCTTCTGATGTCTCGCTCATCTTGGCCCCAACTGCCTCCGCTTCCTCCCCTCGGCAGCGGCGATGAGGCGCGCCACTCGGCCGGGGCGGAGGCGGAGGCCGAGGCACCTATCCCTATGCCTCACCGCCCTCCCACCCCGCCCCCACGCACTGAAGTCCACCACCACCACCCGTGCGAAGACGGCCCATTACCACCACTGCCATCTCGGGTGCCTCCCCCGCCTCCGCCAAGGGCCGACCACGATCGCGCGCCTTCATCATCACCACCGGGGCTCCCGTGGACGCCTCCTCCGATTCCTGCACAGCACCCGCCCGAAGCCTCTTCTCGCGAGCAAGGTGACGACCATGCGCTCTCGTCGGAGCCACTCCGCTCGTTGCATCCTTCCCCTCGGGCTCCCTCCCCCTCGCCTTCGCCTCGATTCGCGGCCAATGCCGCCGCTTCGCCGCGAGGAGGAGGACCGCCGCCACTTCCGCCGCAGCAGCAACCAGCCTCCTCTTCGCCCGTCGCTTCGCCTCGACCGCCGTCCCCACCAAGTCGCGACTCTTCCCCGCGCACTCGCGACGAATTTCCGCCGCCTGCTATGCTCGGCCGCGAGGAGGATGTCGACGACTCGAGCGCTACGTTGCCGCCGCCGCCGCCGCGTTTGTCACCACGCCTGCAGTCACACCGTGAGGAGGACGAGGCTCCCAAGGCCGATACCCTGGAGCTGATGATGCCCTCACCTCGGCGTACGGGCAATGTCTCCGCCATCACGCCTCCATCGCCTGAGATCCCGACGGCTGACGCCTGCCGCCTGCCGCCCCTCTCGCCTCGCATCCCTCCAGCTGCTTCAGCTTCTCCTCGACCCTTGCTTCCTCGAGCTTGCGACAGCCCTGTTGCATCGCCTCGCGGTCGCCCTGCCACTCCTTCTCCCCGCTGCCTTGGGCAGGGCCAGGAGGAGAGTACCGGTCCTCTACCCTCGCCTCGTGATGAGCATGCAGCACCACAAGATGAGGACGCCCGAGAATCATCGCCCCGACCTGTCGCGGCGCTGGAGCTCGAGATCGCAGCGGGGGTCTCCCCCCGGCACGGAACGACTTCTCCCAGACCCAGCTCCGCACGCAGACTCCTGGCATCATCCCCTCCCGCGCGGTCGCCACGTTCATCGGATTGCTCGCCGTCTCCGTCGCCTCGCGCCACACCACGCCCTGCGGAGCCGCCCCACGACGCGGAGAACGCCGCGGCAGCCGCCGACATCGACGACATCAACCCCGTTGTTCTCACTGATGTCTCGGAGGAACCTGAGCACGGAGGCGAGACGACCACGACCCCCGAGAGCGAACAGCACGAGATGAGCAAAGAAGCGGATTCGTTGGTCGAGGCAGCGCCAACCCCAAGCGGCGTCGACGGTGGTGGTGAGACTCTCGAGGCGGATCGAGATGAGGCGACGAAGATCATCGAGGACGAATCGGAGCTCACAATGAAAGGAGACGGAGAACCAGAAGTGGCCTGCAACGTCGAGCCGCTCGTGCCTGCCCTGCAACCGTCCGAACCTGCCGCCCAGCAGGAAGCCGCACAGAAGGAGTCCACAAAGGAGAGCGAGGCTGCTGGGCAGCAAGCCGCCGCGGAGGAGTCCACAGTGGAGATCGACGTCGCCGCCGAACCCGCGTCGATCCGAGAGCCCGTGGAAGCAGCGCCGGTCGTGGAGGCAGCCCTCTCTGAGGCTGCCGAGCAGCTGGGGGAGGAGGGAACGACTTCGCCGACCTCTGTGGAGAGCGGAGTTACCCCTGCGGAAGCATATGACCAGCCAAGGACTGAGGCCGAGGAGCCAAAGGGCAACCTTCTGTCGGCGGCGCTGTCGGGCGTGCCAACGCCGAGCGCAACCCTCACGCACTTGACCCGCGGAAGACCAGCCAGCATGAACAATCGCAAACGGCCAACCAGCTCCCGCCGAGCCAAGGCCCTGGGCATCACGGTACACCCCTTTCTCTCTTAATTCTTCCTATGTGTGTGTGTGTGTGTCTGTGTGTGTGTGTGTGTGTGTTCATCACTCATTGGCAAGTTGCTCGCCACACATCAGGTGGGACCCCAAACGAAGGAGGTCATCGAACCACCACGGGCGATGGAGGAGAGCAGCGCGGAAGAGCCGAACGGCAGCAGCGGAGAGGAGGTGCCACGACGGCCGGATCCGCTGGCGAACAGACCCAGCCTGATGCCGGGCAGGATCAGGAGCAGCCCCGATATGGCCCTCGAGCTCAGAGGCGCCCTGTTCGCACGTGGCGCCAGTACCATTTCCCCGCGCCCCAGCGTTGCCCTTCCCCAGCTGCTCCGCCCTCACCCCCGTGTGTCGCTTTTTCCTCCCTCTTCCAGCTCCGCCAGGTAGCCCGCAGCCGCTGCGCCTTCCCTCGCCCGTTCGGTACCGGCCTCGCTTGAACGCCAGATGAGATCTGTGTTGTTGTGGCTGGGCTGACGTGTCGCCAATTAATTGGTTTGGGGGGGGGGTGCAGGATGAGTTTGCCCACTATCGAGATACCACCACCGACGACGACGACCAACGACGAAACGAAGCCCGAGAAGGCAGCGGAAGAGGCGGCAGCACCGCAGGTGTCGCCCAAGCGTGGGCTGAAGGGCCTCTTGTTCGGCGGGAGGAACGCCGACTCCAAGAAGAGCCCGCGGGCCAAGAGCCCCCGCAAGACCAAGACCATCGACGGGCTCCCCAGCCCCGGCAAGGGAGCCAAACCCGACTCGTGAGCCCCCTCCGCACTCACCAAACTGTACCATTAGTAGTAGTAGTGGTAGTACCAGTGTGTGGTCCGTGCCACACTGGCCGAGAGAAAGAGAACTGACTAAAGTGTGGGAATGGTAAAATTGTGTTGTGTGAAAGATACAAGCGTGGTGGGGGCGAGGTGGTGGAGGGGCGTGCGTAAGTAAGTAAGTGGTGCTCTACTTGATCTTGAGGATGGGGTTGTTCTCGAGGTCGCCCATGTCCTTCAGCACTCTGGCCACATCGAATCGCAGCTCGTGGAACTGCTCCACCGTCAGCTCGAACGTACGGATAGAACCTGCAGACGCAATGACATTCATCACACACACACCGTAACGGCGTGAGTTGCTGCAGTCACGGCACCTCACCGTGCTTCGCACGCTGTGTGCGTGTGCGTGTGCGGTCGTGATGGTACCATCACTAAGGGTAAGCTGGAAAAGGAGGGTGGGCTTGAGGACACGGTTGAGGGACGACGTGGAGATGGTGACGTCCACTCGCCAGCGCAGGTCGGCGAGGGTGGGGAACCGCACGTCGCCCTTGCGTCCGCTGACTGCCGGTCCTGAACCAGGGCCGACCGCCAACGAGGCACGCTTGGGTGCTCCCGTGTAGCCCACTGCTACCGACTGCGGTCTCGACTGCTCCCACCCGCGCCACACAAAATCAATTGATGGCAAAGACGAGAAGACACAGAATGTGACATGTCATTCATCACTAGCTTAAAATCAACGAACAATTTGAGGGTGTGCAGAAGGGCTAAGCGACCCGTACCTTCGCCACATTCATCTTTGCTTTACGATGGCTTCTTCTGTTGTGATTTCGGGGTCGACAAAGTTAATCGCATTTTCTCGTGCTTTTTCCTATTGTCTTTCGATCCATTTTTTCTAGATCAATTCGAATCAATTAGACCCTGGTATGTGGAAGCAAAGCTCGCGAGTTGCTGTCGTGGCTAGGAGCCGTGCTGTGGTTCCCTCGTCGTCGGGGCTGAGGCGCTCGGCAGGTGCCCTGCTGCCGCGTCGCGCTGGTGCTGAAACGGAACCTGAATGGAAGCTTTACGAAGAGGGCGACCCCAATCTCTTCGATAACTGGAAGGGCAAGGTGAGATCCTGTTATATCCTCAAAAAGCTCTCTTTATACAAATTCACGTTGATATCCATCCCGGACCCCCCCCCAATGAATTGTTCATGAATTCTTATGTTGTTGATTCTCGCGAGCTATTAGGCACCTGGCGCGCTGGCGGAGCAAGTGGACATTGATCCGAATGATTGGCATGCGATGACCCCCGACTACGACACGTCGGTGTCTATCCAACATGCTCTCATCTCCTTGGGCACCGCCTTTGGCGTTCTTGCGGGCTTCTACTACTTCTGCAAGGCCATCGCCCCCGAGCCCGCCCTCGTACCGTCTCCCTCTATTATTCTCCACCCACACTTCTCCCCTCCCCTTGCAGTGCATCCTCACAACACGCTCGCGCCGACGCGAGTACTCATCTTTTTTGTAAATCCCAAAGATTCCACGCAACGACTGGCGCACGGTGCCGCCCAGCATCGTAAACGACCAACCCGGCACTCCCTACACGCCCCGTCCGCAGTAATGGAGGAAGAAGCTCGCTGACGCTGCGGAGCCGCTGGTCGCGGTCGAGCTCCAGCACCAGCACTCGCAGCGCCGAGTTGTGTTTTGCGCTCACCTGCCGGACCCTCCACACAGAAATGAATGCCCACCATGGTGTGCAGTTGTAGAAAGAGCTCAAAGCAGTGAGACACAGCAAGTGTGTGTGCGTGCTGGACACAATCAAGCAGGAGGAGAGGTTTGCATACTACAACTGCTTTAGTGTGTTTGTGGAGAAAAGGGAGAATGTATGAGAGGGAACCGGCGTCAGCCATCGCGAGCATCATTGCTGGCGGACCTGGAAGTCAGCGTCGATGGAGGCGCAGTTGCAGATGGCGAGGAGCAGCTTGTGCTTGAGGACCTCGCGGGAGGCGTAGGCCGGGAGCTTGAGGGTGAAGAAGCAGGTGGCCGACTGGGGCAGGGAGTCGGTGCTGCCGTGGAGGCGCGTCACGGTGAAGGCGTTCTGCGACTTGGACGTCGCCAGCCGCTCGCGGCCCGACACGAAGCGCAGGAAGAGGGCGCGCTCCTTGGGCGAGAACTCGGCCACGGTCTCCCACAGCATCGCCACCGTGGGGTCCTCGCGGTGGAAGCCCTCGTAGCGCACGTGCTGCTTGAGCACCTCGACGTCGATGTCGGGCTTGCCGCACACGAGCAGCTCGAGCTCCTCCCACGTGAACAGGGAGAGGGCGTCGATGGGCACCATGGCCGCCAGGCCCCGACGCATGGCCGCCACCTGCGCCCTGCTCTCGACCAGCCGTCGCTGGCGCACGAGGTTGACGTACTCGAGCCGGTTCTCGTAGGTGACGTCGATGTCCTTGCCGCCCTCCTTGAGCTCCACCTTGCTGCCGTCGCTCAGGGCCGTGGTGAAGTTCTCGAAGATGATGAGGCTGAAGTTCTCGGCGTTGAGGTCGTAGGCCTCCGGGTTCTGCAGCTGGTCCAGGCACTGCCCGCAGAACTGGTCGATGTCCTTCAGGTCGTCCGTCGTCAGGCTCTGCCCCACGAGGGGCTTCCACACGGCCGACGGCAGGTCGAGCGGCAGCGGCGCCTTCGTTCGTATCGCGATGCCCATCAGCTTGCCCACGAACTCGTACATGGCCAACTGCAGCGACGACTGCGACGACGGCTTCGGAATGTCTGCGGGTCATCAGACGTACACGTCAAATACGTCAGCGAGCTCTCCTTCTCACCGCCAATTGAAGGCGCGTTTTATTGGGCGATGGGTGGTGTTGGACGTTTGGGGAGGGGGGTACGTACACTTGTCTCTGTTCTTGCCGATGCCCACCTCTTCGAGGGCGAGTTGCGCGTTGGGGCACGGGATGAACAGCGGCAGCTGGTTGGACTGCAACTCAGCGCACATGCTCGACAGGCACTCCCGGTAAGGGCCGCCCGAGTCGGTGGCGCCTTCGCCCACCAGCCGGACCGTGAACGCCTGTTGGTCACCACCACCACCACCACCGCCACCGCCACCAGAGAGAGAGAGAGAGATTAGCGCCAGTCTGTTCCTCTCCCCCCCCGGTGGTGGAAGGGTGCCAGTGAGCAAAGCGTACCCTGCCGGTGGAGCGGAGCTGGGCGGGGTTGGCCGAGTGGAGCTGGTGGAAGGCCTGGGTGAAGATGCCCCACTGGATGTCCTTGTCGTCGTCGCCGGCGTACGGGTCGCCGCCCGGCGCAGACGCCCGAATGTCCCTCGCCTTTCGCTTCTCGGTCTCCTTGTCGGCATCGGTCAGCAGCAGGCGGTTGATGACAATCGTCATATTGCCCCGTGAATGCATCGCCTTGTAGCAGCTCTGCACGTGCGCGCAAGGCCGATGGAGGTGAGACCGGCTTCTCGCGCGGGCGCATCATCACACACTACAGTGTGGGGGGGGGAAGTTAGGTCACCTTGAAGAACTTGGTCTTGACCTGCGTGAAGATGAGGGGGCGGAGGCAGATGAGGCTGGCAGCGAGGGTGCCCCGATCGGCGCCGGCCAGGTCGAGGAGCGGCAGAACCGTGGTGAGCGCCTCGTTGAAGCGCCTGAGCATCACAATGCGTACCCGCATCTCCTCCTCCGTGATGTTCGCCAGCTTGGTGTACACCAAGCGCTCCGTGTCCTGCATCGCGACAAATGATCCACATTAATCATTCATTCACAGCTATGATAGGTAGAAATGGGGGGCGAGGGGTGGGGAAATGGGGGGCGTACGGTCAAGCGGAGGCGGAAGGGTTCGAGGGCGTGGTAGGGGACGCGGCATTCCGAGCGCAGCCGGTTGACGTACTCGACCAGCTCGGCGTCGATGGCCAGGCCCTTGGCCCCTCCCACGAGCGTCGCGCGGAGGCGTTCCACCTCGGCCCTGGCCTCGGGCGAGGCCAGCTTCTGCTTCTGCTCGTCGTCATTGAAGGCGGGGACCACATGGAAGGCGAAGCCCCAGACCGGCTCTGGGAGCGACTCCTTCGGCGTCTGCTGCTCCTGCTCTGACTTGGGTGGTTCCGCGCTCGCGGCTTCCGTGCCGGCACTGTCCGAGCTCGGTTCGGCGGCGGAGGTCGGTTGGTCTGCAGCAGCAGCAGCGGGGCTGGCTGTGGCGGGCGCAGCCGGGCCGGACGAGGAACCGAAAGAGAAGCCCGAGGTACTGGAGGACGCCCCAAAGCGCGGCGGCGCGAAGCTGAACCCTCCAAAGCCAACAGTACTTTGGGCAGCTGGCTGCGCTGACGCAGGAGTGGGTTCGTTGACGCCCCCCTTGGGCACGGGCCGCTTGTAGCGGTAGAACACCGTATCGCCGTCGATCAGGTAGAGCCTGTGGTGTCGTGTACGTGTGTGTGTGTGTTGTGTGTGTGTGTGTGTGTGTGTGTCGTGTGTCGTGTGTCGTGTCAGGCACGGAATCGGACCTCGCGAAGAGGGGTACGGTGGGGTGGGGCGTACCAGGGCTTATTGCGGCGGATCTTGTTGCCCACCCGGGTGCGGTCATCGTCGTTGGGTAGGAAGAACTGGAGCTTGTCGGTGCCGTGCAGCTTGCAGCGAGGATCCAGGACCACCTGCAGCGAGCTCGCGCCCGGGATGTGCACCTTTCGCACCTCGCCTCCGTCCGGCAGGGTTTGTACAACCTCTCCGGAGCCTTCTGAGGCAGCCGCGAGCTTCTCCTTGGCCGCGTCCTGGGTCGGGTGGGTCTCGCTCTCTCTGTGTCGTCATCCACAAGGCCAGTGAGAAGAAGAACAACAAATAGGCCAGGCAAGCTACACAACCGAATAGACACACACTCGGCGCTGAGCCCATGGGAAGGTTGGAGGGAGGAACGCACCGGCACTGGGTAAAGGCTGTGCTGAGGGCCGCTGTGCAGAGGAGCGGCGTGGGAGCGCTGGCTCCGTCCGGGCCAAGCCACCACTCCGAGGCCGACTGCAGGTCCACGAGGGTGTCGAACCACGATTCGTTGTTCATCAACCTGAGCTGCTCCTCCTGCTCCTCCTTGTTCTCCTTTGGCTCCCCGCTCTCCTCGAAGTAGTCCCATTTGGCCTTTCGCAGCACCACCAGGAGCTCGACGACGGTCGAGAAGTAGCGTTTCCTTTCCAGCGCGTCCGGTTCGAAGGACTGGCCTTCGCTTTCGAATTCCGAGTGCAGGGTGTGCATGGTGGCCGACAGCCAGTCCGTGGTTTCGCGGTTGGGGCGAGCGCGAGCTGGCGCACCCGCAGCAAGAGGGAAAAAAAGAAGAGGGGGGGAGGAGGGAGAGAAAGCGATGAGCACCCTGGCGGTCGCATCCATCGGAGGAAAAGAGGGCGTGCGGGGGTACCCAGCGCTTCGGGCGATCCTCGGAGGGAGTGGGCGCAGTCGGTGGCCAGGGCCATCATGAAACGGATCAGACGGACGCGCATGGCGGGCGTGGCCTCGTCGCCCGCCTTCAGGTGATTCGCCAGGTGCTCGAACACCTGCGGCGTGTACTTCTCCTTGACGCTAGGCACGCAATCCGCATACACTGCGCACACATGCGCGGACATCGCAGCTTAGAAAGGGGCCGTTTCTTAATCTCGCACAGCGGGGATGGGTGGCGTACCCAGGGCAATGAGCCAGCTGGCAAAGTTGAAGTCGGGGGTGCCTGGCTGGGCGGGCTTGGCAAGCCAGAAGCCGGCGGCAATGCAGTAGTCGAGCAGGACGTGGGCCAGGCCGCCCCCGCTCGGACTGCTGCTGCTGCTGTCGGCCTCCAGCCTGAGCCTCGTGGCGATCTCCGTCGACACCACCTTGAGGACCGCATTCCGGCCCGGCTTCTGCGAAGTGGGCAGGGCTGCAAAGGCCGCGAGACGGCTCTTGTCTGCGCGCTGCAGTCAGTCGCAGTCACTCGCACTCTGACAAACAGGGGTGAGTAGTGGGTACCGGGAAGGGCTCCCTGGTCCTCGTCGGGCGGGTTGCTGGCGTCGGAGGGCGTGGCTCCGGTGAGGTACTCGGCGGCGACGTACTTGAGGAAGGCAAGCAGGGAGTGGTCACCGACGCTCTCGAAGGAGAAGCGCATGGTCTCGGGCCAGTGGGCGAGGAGGGAGAGCAGAGCTTGGCCGGCATACTTGCGCAGCAGCGCGGTCTCGGTATCGACAAAGTGCACCTGGGTCGGGATCAGCATCTGCTTGCGGGTGTGGGGCCACGGGTCGTGCACGTTCTTCACGGGGCGCCGCAGGAACCGCTGTGGGTACCACCACTCCTGCCACACGCCTCTCTCCGGATCGTAGAGCTCCAGCAGGGCCTGCGATTGATATTAGCACCATAATCAGCACTGGTCGCCATCTCGAACGAGAGAGAGAGAGAGAAGAGTGGTGTCAAACGTACCGTGCCGTTGGTGGTGTTGAGGGCCTTGACCAGGCCGCTGTGGCCGATGGTCTTCTCCATGGCCGCGTTCCAGTCCTTGCGCTGCAGCGAGGTGGTATCCTTGAACACCTTGTACCACATGCCCACCTGGATGTCCTCCGTGGCGTTGCGACCGCGCGTGGGCGCCACCACACCCCGGCCCCCCTTGGGCAGCGTGACGGTCTTGCGC